CAGCCAGGCTGGACTCCCGGCCCTTCCCCGTGTCTCTCTGTCGCGGTCTGTGATTGTCAGCCGCGTCCTCTCCGACTTAGCAGCGGTGCGCGAGGGGTGGCCGTGGGCAGGGACTGCTCGTTGCCACTGTGATTTGGGGAGTTGGAGTCCTCGAATCTCATTTTCATCGTCTCAAAAGCCACGTTGATAAGACGATTCCCGTTTGCAATGTGGTGGTCAAGGGCTTGCACATGCAAAGCCGAGAGGAGCAGACGGACAGCTGGTTGTAGGGCAGCCGAAGCTGCGGCCGGTGCCGAGCCGCTCTCGCCCTCCCAAGTGCCCTGGAGCCGTAGCCTTAGCCACGGACCGGACCGGAGCGGGCTGGGCGGCACCCCCGTGCGCGCCACGTGGACACTGCTGGCCTGAACGACTTAGATCTTATTTATCCCCTTTTCTCGAGAGAACAACACAACCCTCAGCCCACTGATCACCATTCGGTAGGTTTTCTTCTTACCACTCAGTACGTAAAAACATCTAGTCCTCCTGTCCCAGGAGAAAAAAAGTTCTTTTTTAAGGACAACTATTCTCACAAAAGGAGCCTGAAAAAGCCTACTGCCCATCCTCAAGTAGTTTCTTCTGTACTACTTTTCTTTCCTAGTAAGATAATGCAGCTAAACCAGGTGGTACTCCCTTCTCCTTTATTGGCCTATCATTTGGTTAATTTTGTCTGTTTATTTTGATGTTTGTCATTACTTAAAAACAATTATATGATAGTATTCTAATTTAAAAACGTGAAAAACTTCCCCCATATTTTTAATAACCTGAGAGAAAAGAATGTTTCTTGAACTTGGTGGAAAATTCATTTTGCCTAATGATAAGTATAGAAAAGTAATCTCCAAAGTGAATTATTGAATTAACGGATGCCATAAGTAAAAAGCAGCAGAAGTTTTAAATGCATATAAGTATTTAGGAAATAACAGATTTCAAATAAATGGGAAGATGAATAAGGGATACAGGGATAATTGGTTAGCTATATGAAAAAAGAATTGTTCTATCTTACATCATATAATGAAAATAAAATTCACAGGAGACATAAATATTGGAATAAAATACAGGTGAATATAAATATCATTCTGGGAATAGGAAGGACTTCCTAAGCACAGTTTCAAATGAAGCAACTGTAGGAAAGGTATGAAAGTTTTGACTAGACTAAAAAAAAAATTCAGTGTACACATCAAAACAAAAGGGGGGCCCTGGCCAGCCTGGCCTTGACCTATGAACCTGGAAGTCATGGTTGTATTCTGATGAGGGGGTTAGGGGTGGGTGGGAGGAT